CCTGGGTCTTCTGCAAGAACAACCAGTGCTTTTAATTGCTGAGCCATCTCTTCAGCCCCCCCCCAAAAATATTTAAAAAGACCCTTATATTCTTTTTTATTTTTATTTTTTTTGGTCTTTTGGAGATGCCCCATCTGTCCTGGATACGCTATGGAGACCAGGCTGGCCGCAAACTCACAGGGATCCACCAGCCTCTCCCTCCCGAGTGCTGGGATTAAAGGCATGTGCTACCATGCCCGGCAACCCTGTCTATTCTTTATTAGCATTCCCAGAGACGCTGCAAAGAATGAAAGGGGCCTGGCCTGCTAGTTATCGGCGTCATAAAGGCTAAATGTGAAACCACCTACTGCTTTCTTATTTGGAAGTTAGAATGAGTCTGGGAACGCTGGAAGCTATGATATGAAGCTTTAAAAATTATTTATTTTTTTTTTAATTTTAACTTTTTGTTATTTTATTTTTGAGACAGGTTCTCCCTGTAGTCCCAGCTGGTCTGGAACTCGCTGTGTAGGCTGTGCTGACTTCAGTCTCACAGAGATCTGCCTGCCTCTGTCTCCAGAGTGCTGGGATTCAAGGCATGTGCCACCACACCCAGCTTTTATTTTTTGATATATTTTTATGTTTTTATGTGTATGAGCCTTATACTTACATGTGTGTAAGTGCACCAGTACCCTCAGAGGACAGAAGAGGGAGTTGGATCCCCCGGAACTGGAATTATGTACAGTTGTTAGCTGCTATGTTGATTCTGGGATTCGATCCTGGGTCTTCTGCAAGAACAGCCACTGCTCTTATCAACTGAGCCATCTTTCCAGAGCCCCCAGCTTTCATTTTTTTATTAAATTATTTTGATTTATTTTGTGTGTATGAGTGTTTTGTGTAAATGTATGTAAGGGCACCCATGCATGTAAGGGCATCATTTTCTTGTGTTAGAGAGAACTTTGAGCCAGACGTAGTAGAGCGCACCTTGTAATCCCAGCACTCTAGAAGTTGAGGCAGGAGGATTGCCTTGTGTTTGAGATCAGCCTGGGCTATGTATATAGTGAGCTCCAGGCCATTCAGAACTACAGAGTGAGACCTTGTCTCAAGAAACAAAACAAAACAAAAGCAAAAAATTAGGAAGGATAACTTTCTTATATTTAAATCTGTTCTGCTAGCATTTAGAATCAATGTATGGAGTGATATTTGGGACCTGAGAGGGAGGTAAGAGCTGAGAAGCAGAGGAGTTTGGAGAGGCAGCAGGGTTCCCGGGAGTGCAGGGATGGGGAAGAAACAAACTTTATCAAAGGGATCAAAGGAATAGGTAGAACTCAGACAAGAGTGGATAGTGCAGCACGGTAGGAACCAAGTGTGGGACAGTTGCTAGGAAGCTGGAAATGTTTAGTTGAATTTAAATACTGTGGAGAGGCTGAGTAAGAACAGCCATGATTAGACATCAGTGAATTTGGCTTGAAGTATGTTTGGTAAGTTTGAATAAATGGATAAAGTAAGGGGTAGAAATAGAACACAGTTTGTGCGTTTTGCACAGGTCATAGGTGACAGTGGTAAGGCAATGAAGACATGGCTGTACGTAGCTGGAGGAACAGCTGCACGGGTTAGAGATGACTCTTCTGAGGGGAGGAAATGGGACGTGTTGAGCACAGAGTCGGAAAGTTGTAAGGGGAACACTTTGGAGGGTCTCAAAGCACTGGCCGGAAGAAGAGGCAGGGGAGAGGGAGCAAGTGCAGCTGTGAAAATGCTGTGAGCAAAATGTTAGTTGGCAAATGTTTCTTCTGGTATAAAACGGACACGCAGGGCTGTTGAGATGACTCAAGGGGTAGGGTCACTTGTTATTAAGCATGGCGATCTGAGTTCCCTCCTGTGGAAACCACACGGTAGAAGGAGAGAACGGTTGCCCGGAAGTCTTCTGAGCTCCACATGTGTGCTGTGACACTTGTTCTCTTTCTCTGTCTATACACGTACACACATAATAAATAAAATAAAAGGATATACAATTCACATACAAAACTTCATTTGTCATGCCCAAGTAAGTAAGAACTAGTAACTTTCTCAGAAATAGGGAATAGTACTCAGATCCTTAATCTGATGCTGGTTAAATAAAGCTGTATAGATTAGATGCCAACCAGGTACTGACCTTATTTATGAATATAGCAATGTGGCTGTCTGTGTGTCCTTTCTTTCTTTCTTTCTTTCTTTCTTTCTTTCTTTCTTTCTTTCTGGCTTGGCAGCAAACACCCACTGAACCATCTTACCAGCCCTATCTCTCTTTTTGGTCTTTTTGAGATAGGGTCTCCCTGTAGCCCCAGCTGACCTGGAACTCTTGCTATGTAGACCAGGCTGGCCTTGAACTCACAGAGATCCGCCTGCCTCTGCCTCCCAAGTGCTGGGATTAAAGGCATTAAACACTGCTGCTGTGAGTTCATGGGTACAACAGCCATGTCAGGTTCAGAGGGTGTTTCACACCATTCCTTCCCATCCCCCATGTGTATGCTTCTTTTAAAAGTACTACATACAGCTTGTACTCTTATTTGCCTAGTTCAGACCTTTGTGAAACTATTAACTATGGCCCCACTTTTCAGAGACCAGAAGGCCTTGACAGATGTCCCGTGCCCCACCTCTCTTCTGTGGGCCGAGGGCCTTGATTTGCTTCTAACACTTGCATCAGCCATTTGTATCAACCACTATCCCAGGTCTGAATGTAAAAAATTATTTATTCTTTCACAGTTTCATATGCACACATATATGTGTGTATGTATTTTGACCATGTTCCCTCCGTTACCCTTTTACTCCCTTCCTCCCTGCCGAACACCATTTTTTTTTTTTTTTTTTTTTT